TTTTTTTTTTTAAAAAAAAAAATTATGTATTCAATATTTTTGGCATAAAAATATACATAAAATTAATAAAATTATATGTTTTGTATACAAAATTTGTACATCAAAATATTAATAATATTGTATCTCATAGTATATATTTACCTTATAAATATATATACATAGTTTTTATTTTAAAATAAAGAAAATATTTTAAAAAATAAAAAAATATAGGAATCGGGTCAATCGGGTTGACTCGGCCGGGTCAATGCTCCGGATCGACCGAGTCAAAGATGGGTTGATCGGGCTTTGACCGGGTTTGACTGAATCCATTGTTACTGGTCCTAATAACCCATCTCAACCGGTTCAGGCTACGGATCAACCGGGCCCAGACCGACCCGTCGGGCCGCTCCGGAAAACTAACCAAAAGGTGATGAATAAGCACACAACTAGGACATCCTCTTTTATTTTGCATAAACTAAAGGGTGCTATTAGAGAGTGTCCAACCTCACCCCATTCCAACCAATCATAATCCAGCTTTAACATTTCTCCGGATGACCTTATTCACCTCAACTCAACCCTTCACACATTTCTTATCTATCACATGCAAAAAATCTCCTCACCCCCCACACCACCACAAACAAAATCTTCTAATTTATTATTTTTCCCATCTCTTCTTTTTTCTTTCTCATAATAACCTTTTAAAAAAAAAAAAACATCAAATCCACACCATAAAATTCCTCCCAAATTTCGACAACCATCAAATTAAAATGGCCACCAACACTTTCAACACCACACACTCTCTCCGGAGTCGCCGCCACTCAATCGACTCCCCCCAGGCAGCCCCCGCCGCCCCCAATCACTCATCCCATTCTCTCTTCCTCACACCAAAATCCGCCGTCCGCCCTCTTTCCCACTCGGCCGCCGCCGCCGCCGCCTCCACCACCGCCAACCCCTCCACCTCCGGAGCAACCGGCAGCGGCGGCGTTTCTCTCGACCTCCTGGAGCAGTACCTGTCGTCAAAAAACTTCCGGCAGGCAGACGAGGAGACCCGGCGGCTTCTAATCGCCCTCGCCGGCGAGGCAGCAATTCGGCGCGGGTACGTGTTCTTCTCGGAGGTTCAATTCATCCTCGCCGGGGATCTCCGGGCCATAGACGGGCTGTGGCGCGAGCACAGCAAGGGGCGGTACGGGTACAGCGTGCAGCGGCGGATCTGGAAGAAGGCAAAAGGGGATTTCACGCGCTTCTTCATAAGGGTCGGGTGGATGAAGAAGCTGGAGGGATGCGAGGTGGAGCAGTACAATTACAGGTCGTTCCCGGGGGAGTTCATATGGGACCCACCGGAGGAGGAGGAGGAGGAGGGTGTCGCCCACGCGCCCGAGGGGCACCTGCCACTCACGAACGCGCTCAGGGGGACACGATTGCTGGAGAGCATCCTCACCCATCCGGCATTTGATGATGATGATAATGATGATGACGATGATGGCGATGATGACGAGAAGATGATGAGGAAGGCTGTTGGGAAGCCTTTAATTGGGTTTAAACCCAACTACACCTTTTGAGTAAGATAGAAAGGTTTGTTGGGACAAAAAAAACAAATATTATTATAATAATTATGTCATGTGATTGTGATGATGGCGGTGCGTAGTCGAAGAAGCTTGTAATTTTATATTTTTTTTTTCTTTTTTTTTAACTTTTTCTGGGAACGTTAAATACGATGAAATGATGTTGTGAATTTCTGAAAGGTCCAAGTGGTAATTTCATATCATGTGCTGGCATTTGGCATGTTATACTTGTAAGAAAAATTATTATTTTTTTTTTTTCAATTCGATTTTGGAAGACTTTGAAATATTTTAAAACCATTTTAATTTAAATGAGAAATTAATTTTAATTGTTATATGTGAAATAAAAGAAGTTTAGTTGTTCAAAAGCTATTTTAAGTCGAACACGGACAAGTTCAGATCATGATAAGGTGTAAAGTCGCACATGGTATAGTGCAAAAATTGGTCTTGACAAGGCGCGACTACCTTGGCCTTCCTAGCAGTAAGGTGGTCGTGATCATGGGCCTAGGCGCTACCTTGGCCTTTCCAGTAGACTTCCTCTTCCTCTTGGACTTTTTAAATTCAGAGGTAGAGGGTCAAACCTGCACAACAACTAACACATGTGAGTTCTGAGAAAACAGGCCCTCAGTCGCCTAGAGCTTACTGAAAAGCTCTGCCAGCGAGAATGACAACTTGTTCATGTTGTAGTTCAAGCAGAACTGCTCAAAGCTCTTGGACAGTGACTGGAGCACGATATCAACTCGGGTCACCCGGTCTATATCGGCTACAAGGACCTCCATCTTATTGAGTTGAGCCATCAGATTAAAAACATGCTCCCTCACGGGAGTGCCCTCAACTATGGTCGTGTTCATCAGAACCCGCATAGCCTCCTGTCTGGCAGCCCTAGACTGGTGTCCAAAAAGCTACTTGAGGTTGATAAGCGTGTCGTAAGCCTTAAAAACATGCATAAATTATATGCATAATCTCGAGGCCTTAAAAACATGCATAAATAAAAACACGTACATTAAAGGCCATAACAGTGAATTAGTCAAAACACTTGCAAAACTGAGTTATGCAATAATAATTATCCAACAATATATGTCGCACCTTGAACACAATTAATTCATGCATATTAACATATAAAGCCTAAAGATCCAAAATTTACACAAAACACAATTTAAACCAAGTGCTATGATACCATTTGTTGGGGTTCTATGAGAAACGCCGTATTTCATGAAAGTCACAGATCTAAAGTCTAAAAAATATAAGCCTAAAGCGAGTGGACTAGAGAATGGTTTGAACACTCACGGCTTAAAATTACAGACTCTAAGAAGTTTCTGATTTCTGTTGATGGAGAACGTCTGAACTCTCATCAATCGTCGGAATCGAAAATAGGTCGTTGGAGTTGAATTGGACCACCGGTTGCGGAGGCACGTGAGTCACGGGTTACTGGGGTTTGGCATGTAGCGGCTCGTGGGTCAACGTCGTGGGCTGCTGACTACATCGCGGATCGCTGGAGGTTGTGGGCTAGCTCCGGTCACGGATGGTGGTCGAGGCTCGGGAGTCTCGGTTTTACCTTAGTACTTTTATTATATTAACTTACACTTTTTGATTGTCTTGGTGGGTAACTCACAAAGGTCTCACAATTATGATTTTTATCATAACGAGAGTGTGTAATCATAGGCTACAAGAGAGACTCTAAGGAAGTGACAAATATGGGCTTACCAATTATGGACCCAACTGTGGGTCAAACCCACTACGCTCATACTTGAACGGTTCTTCAGTCCACTAAAGAAAAACCGTAGATCTCCCCATTTGGCTCCCAAATTACAATTTGAGGCTCCAGTAATAATTACTCAATTTATCTCCCCGTGTTTAAGATATAATGTTCGTCAATTAATTAATTAATGTTAATAATTAATTGCCTTTTTGTGCTGAGGGTAGTACCACTTAATGTTCTATTATTATGTCGGAACTTAATCAGCTTGCAGGATTTAACATAATATCCTTCTTGAGCTTTTCTTGAGACATCATCAGACTATCGCACTCGGTGACCGTAAATAATCGAACACCACGTACATACACACAACATCACTACGCAAAACACGTTAGACTATTGATCCAACAACATGGATCTCAATTCTTGGTGAATCAGATTAGCAACTACTGTATGCACGTGCCTATTTATATCTTACGGGTTAAGAGTACGCAGTAATTAACCAAGGTCTAATTTATTTACAGATCAGTTCAAAACAAACTTATCCTCTATAAGACCCATTCAATGCACACAGTGCACTGGTAACCAATCAGTGAAGGCAGATTGTACAGTTAACACTACAACCAATACGATGAGTTGTTCATTTTCATCTAGGTCATGAACTATATTATTTATATTTAACAAGTTACCAATACGTGATCTTCTGTATCATCCGTGATGGGTTGCTCATTTTCATTTAGGTCATGAACTATATTATTTATGTTTTACAAGTTACCAATACGTGATCTTCTATATCATCCGTGATGGACCACAATATCCAAATGTAAAACATCAGAATATAAGATAATTTAATTAAATGTAATTTTCATTCAAAAGAAAGATAGTGTTTATTATGCAAAATACCAAGCTTTAAGTATATACACCAACAATTACTCCATAGCTCTAGTCCAATGGAGTATGGTTTGGGGAGACTTGATAATATACCTACCGATGAACCAAAGTCAAGTGTGACTAAGTCGAGGAGAGACTCAGAGAAGACGACCTTAAGGAAGTCGATGTTAGGCTGGGATCTTAAGGGAGACGACCTAATGGAGTAGGAGACTACTCAAAGGTATCTATAAGAGGTCACCACGACCAATAGCCCATGCGAAGGTAGCTCGATGAGTCAATAATCTGATAGTGCGACTTGTGAGGAGATGAACGTGACACCTATAATTACACAGAGACCTAATTAAAGTACCCAATGAATGAATAAGAAGGAATCTAATGACGACCAAGGTATTATTATGATGAAGATAAGATCAAACTCCAGGAAGTCAGGCAGGCTGACTTTAGGCAACTCGGGCACACAAGTACGGGCAAATATTTCTCTATAAAAGAGGTATGAGATACAACTACAAACCTTCTTCTACATTCTACATACGTTCTACTTAGAGCTTGTATCTTTCATCTTTCGGATACTGATTTAAGCATCCGAGTTCTAACACCGGTAACTCCACCTGACACTTTTTGCAGGTTTCAGCTGTTCAGGGATGATCGAAGCTCTCATTTTCGAGTTCAGTCTCGACTCGAGGTCTCCGACACATAAAGTATGTTTATCCTTCATGTGTTTAAAAGTGTAATGCTAAAGAATATAAAAATATAAGTACAATATTTTGATGATCAAGTATATACAGTACTAATATGAAAAACCAAAACTAAAATGAAAACCCTATATTAAAATGAGAAGCCAACAATTTACTTGTCGATCTGTCACGTAAACTATTAGATTACGAAGAATCAACATATTTAAAATATGTATTGTTGTAAATTATGATACATTAATGAATCAATTGTCAAACTGTCATGTAAATTATAATCTTAGAAATAAAAACAAAACGTTCAGAATATATATAATATTTAATATAACATTTAATATATATATATATATATATATATATATATATATATGATATCACAAACAAAAACTAACAGATTGCGTTCACACGGGGTGTTCTAATTTAACACCTCGTTTTTGTCCCACAAATGATTAGTAACAAAGATGTCTATAATCGCTTTACCATAAAAACTTTCTTGCCATTGCGTTATCATTGTACTTCATTATCTTCTGTTCTCTCTTACGAGAAATCCAGGATCAAATAACACATCAAATTAATAAAGAGGCTCAACCAATATTGTCTATGTCTCCAGCACCACCAACCATAAAGCCCACTTCACTAACCTCATGAACTAAATGCAATGTCATTCATTTCCCATTTGGTGGTTTGCTCTCATCTGAAGTGATGCTTGATATTTTTTGTTGTGGGGTATTTTTATCCATTGCATGTGTTTGTGATATCTCAACACAAAAATACATGCAAAAACTACCCAATAGTTAATTGTAGAAAAAATTAAAATATATCCACTACCTCACATATTTGGGTTGAAAGTTTGCGATTTGATTGGGGCAAAATTTCAAACTTGGTCCTATAACTTGGCCACAATCCAAAAAACCACCCCGATACTGACCACTTTCAATTTAGGTCGTATAATTTGACAATTTAATCAAATTTGGTCCTTTTCTATCCGGACCCTAGATAAAAAAAGTGACGTGGCAGTTTTTTATCTGACATGGCGTGATTGTTGTCTACATGACAGGATTATGAAATGTTGACTTCAAAATTAACTATTCCACATAAGCAACAGACCTTAGTTGCAATTAACTATAACTTTTTAAATTACAAAGTAGTCCATACAACTTATTAAATTTCCAAAACTGAATCCCTGCAATACTCAACTCGTCAATCTCTCATCCGCCTCGCCTGCTCGCTACCGCCGACCACCATTGTCGTTCGCCCCAAACTGCTCGAAGCTTCAGTACCGTGATCTATCTCAGAATTACTTCGTGAGAAATTTCGGCGAACATCAGCCATCTCTGATCACTCCCCCACCTCGATCTGTTGGCAAACAACTTCACCGACGACATAACTCCAGAGGTCTAGAACTTAACGAATCTGAGATCTCTGAATCTCTATCGTAATCTATTTAATGGAAGTTCTGTTAATGGAACTTAACAGATCTGCAACTTTTTGTTTTTTTTTAATATACAGTTCATATTAGAGAAGAAAAAAAAATGAAAATACAGATTGACCGAACCATATCCCGTAACAAGAGCGCATTCGAATTTTCACCTCTTTACACCATGAATGTGACCATACCATCGTCTCCTGCTAATCTTCCTCTTCCGCTTAGATAAAGCTCTATCCTATCCCCTCTGTGAGATCCTTTGCACTAATCTTATCTTTAACTTTCCCAACGTGTTCCTGATTTTTAGGAGGGGGGAAATGGAGACTGGAATCATGACAATAGATCCTGCCAAGATATGCAAAATTTGATGGCATATATGAGCATCCCCAGTCATCTCTCAACCAGCGGTCCCTCATATCTAGAGATGTTAAATGGTCCTTGGCCTGACTGACCGGCCCGTTTAGCCCGAAAAAAAAACAGGGTTAGGATTAGCAGCCCGTTTAAACCCGAGCTTTTTAGGCCCGCACCGTTTAGCCCGAAACCCGCTAGGGCTAGCCCGTTTAACTTGGGTTGGGTGGTGTATATGCTTTTAGAAAGGTAAGGAATATGTCTCATAATTCCTTATATATTACAATTTTGTTATTCTACTTTACATGTAATTATGAGTTACAATGTATTATTATTATTTTGATAGATAATTATTAAAAAATTTTATTATGTCACAGAAAAATATTTAAGCCAATCAGATCGGCTAATAAAAAACAAATGAGACAAAGACCTAAAACATAGAATATAGTGACAAAATATAAATTCAGCAGTATGCTATATTGTGAAAATTCCCGAAGCGTACCAAATAACTAGTCAAATGGTAGTTATAAGTAATAGTTCGAACATTTTTTTTTTTCTGTTGAGAAACAATATGTTATTTAAGAGTTTGTAATGTGTGTTTGTATATGAAGTGTAGTTGTATATATATAGTGGTAAATACTAAATAGCCGTTGAAAAAAACGGTTAACTAGGTGTTATTATTATTATTATTATTATTACTATTATTATTATTATTATTATTATTATTATTATTATTATAGCCTGTATAGCCCGTTTAGCCCGAAGCCCGCTAGGTTTAGGGTTAGGTCTTTTTATTGGTAGCCCGTTTAAATCCGGACTTTTTAGGCCCAGACCGTTTAGTCCGAAGCCCGCTAAGGCTAGCCCGAAACCCGCTAGGGCTAGCCCGTTTAACATCTCTACTCATATCCCGTAATAGATCTGGAAGTTCACCAGATAGTTTTTTTATTTTATTTTTTTTTTTGTTTTAATTTTGTATTTTTTTCCACAATAGGTATAAGTATTTCCACCTAATTTTAGTTTTTTGTTTTAATTTTTTTTTATTTCACTTGGCTATAATTGAATTATTAAATACAAATAAAGTCCCCACATCACACCAGGTCAGATAAAAAATACCACGTGACGCCACGTCAAATTTTTATCCTGAGTTCGGATAAAAAAAGACTAGAAATGATGAAATCGACAAATTATAGGACTTAAATTGAAAGTGGTCAATATCGGGGTGGTTTTTTGGACTGTGGCCAAGTTATAGGACCAATTTTGAAATTTTGTCATTTGATTGGCTAGTGAACATTTGATGCAATTGCGAAAAATGAAGAGCACAATTTCCATCTCTGGCTAAAGTTAGTTGGACATATTTTGTAATTTTGACTAGTTGAAACAAATCATATATATCGACTAACCATAATGATGACATAAAGTAAATATAAATAGAGCAGTATATAGAACATCCAATCGACCTTTATACAAATATTACAATGTAAACTAACTTGACACTAAAAGCTAAAATATTAAAACAGTAAAGGTTGTCAAGTTGAGGAAGTGATATCACGCAGAAAGTTGAGCCCTGTACACATAAAACCTAACCAAAAGCAGAAAGAAAATGAAGTTAAAGAAATTGAGAGCAGCCAATAGCGCATAGTAATAATCCAAATGGCAGTTGTTGAGGTCATTCCCAACCCACCCCTCTTCATGATCTCCCTTGGTGAACCTCGAAACAATCGATAACAAAAAAGTACTAAGGTAATTCCCAACTCCAAGGCTAACCATGGAGTAGGACGTCCCCAAGCTCTTCATTCCTTGGGGCGCCTGATCATAGAAAAACTCAATCTTTGCCACTTCCAAGAATGCATCCGCAATCCCCATCAACACAAACTGCGGCAGCAGAATAAAAACAGACACTTGTTCTTGCTCGTGTCCCATCCTCATCCTCATCCTCATCCTCCTGTGGCTCTCGGTGAAAGTTGCAACCACCATTATGATAATGTGAATGAGCATGCCAATCCCCATTCTCTGGAGGAGGCTGATTCCGCGTGGGTCCCCAGTCCATCTGCGCAGGATTCTCACGAGGATGCGGTCGTAAAGCACAACCGATACCAACATGGATATTGTGACAAACGATGCCAGGCTGGCGGGGGGAATCTCATGCCTCCCACCGATGCTTCGGTCAAGAGTCGTGCCTTGCTTCACGAACAACGTGGTTACCTGCGAGATCATTGCAGTCGGGACGAAGGTGGCAATCAGGATCGGTATCATTTGGATCATCTGTTTTGTTTCCTCAACATGGGTCACCGGGCATAGCATGGAGGAGGAATCTGTTCTCACACAGGCTCTATTCAGGAACCTCAACGTAGGTGTAGACCTAATCCGGTAATTTCCCTTCTGACTATAAATTTGAATATCCTGCTCGTACAACTGTGTAGCATCTGTTGGGATGGGGACATTCCGTTTTCTTATGGCAGCAATAATGACCTTAGCCATTTTAGTAAGAGGGCTTCCTGAGGGGAGTTTGTGCCTGTAAAGTGGGGTGCCCATCAGAAATATGAGTATGGACAACGCGAGACCGACGGTTGGGATCCCGTAGCCGAGTGTCCATCCTTCATTATCTTGTATGTACACAAGTAATGTGTTTGAAATCAATGTACCAAAAAATATGCAAAACATCCACCAATTGAAAAAAGAGAGTTTGTGGGATTTCTCTTTTGGGTTCATCTCATCAAATTGGTCTGCCCCAATGGTAGAGATATTAGGCTTTGTTCCACCAGTGCCAATAGCCAATGTGTATAGTGCACCAAAGAATACACCTACTTGCAATGTTGTGGCCTTCTTGCAGATAACACCACTTGGGTCTAGACAAGGGCTTGGTTTCAGAGGATAAATTGAAGCTGATAAAGTTAGAATGGACATTCCCTGTATAAAAAAATAAACGCAATAAAAAAATTATAAATATATAATGATTCAATATAGCTTTTTTTGGCAGAATGATATATGGTAACTTAAGAAAAAAGGAAACTTAAAATAGTTTATGCTAATTTCCAAGTCTAATAGTCAAAACAAAACTTGTATAGATTTACTGCAAATAAGCTTACGAAGCACACGAGACTGCAACTTAGGCTCGTAGATCCTAAAAGTGGGTCTTAAAAGTGGTATTAGAGCCAGAATCTAACTTTAATTGAATAATGCAAGGTTTATTGTGGATTTATAAATATGGTATATCTCTAACAATATAGGAGAATGATGCACTTTTTTAAAGAAACATACCGTGAGATAGATAACGGAAGAAATGAGGAAAGTCCAGTAGCGGCCCAAAATGGCGTCAGCCACGTAAGCACCCAAAACAGGAGTCATCCATACAGTTCCAACCCAATTGGTCACATTGTTAGCTGATTCAACTGTGCCTTGACGGAGTTTTTTGGTCAAATAAATGAAGAGATTCGAGGATATCCCATAGTAGGCCATGCGCTCAAATACTTCATACACTGGACATGGTTATAATATATATATTCATTCATTTCTTCTTGGAATAAGGAGATATATTGGTAAGTGAATATTGTTTGGGAACTATTTATTATTGATTTATAATAATAACTAGTACAATACACGTGTATTACACGGGTGTTGAATTAGAAATCTTTTGTAAAATATATTAAATTTTTTATTGTTTTAAGACCTAAAATAATTTAATTTTATATAAAACATTACTTTGGGTTTTAATTAAATTGTCAAATTATATTATTTTAATCATAATAATTAAACACCCGTACATTAAATGAAAATGTCAACCCGTGTTGAATTTTTTTACTTATATCATATAAAAATATCGGTATTATTTACTATTACATAAGTACAAGAATATATATCTTAAGTAAATAGAAATATTATGGTGATATGTATATGCATAATTGTAGAATATGTTTATTTAATATTAACCAAAATAGATTAATTTTTTTTACTTAATTAGATGCCTAATACATCAAGTGTCGTATCAGTCGTGTTTCACAGTTTTTTAACTTTATATGTAATTTTAAAATTTATATAATAATTATTTATTTTTATTACATTGACAACATATCAATTAGATTTGAAATACATATCATTTTTAAACGAATACATACTAATTTCTATTACTTTATAATATAATTTATAGTTTTATTTGATATAATTTATTAGTTTGATAAATAAATTAAATTTTATCTATAAGGATATATAATACCGTTTTGTATCTATTCATAGATAAAAGTATTTTATATCCTTATTAGTAATATATTAATTACTAATAGGCCTAATTCATAGATAAAAGTATTTCATATATGTATATATAAATAAATAGTAAAATACAAACGAACTTCATAATATCGATTCAAATGCAACACACTAATTAAGATTTTTTTTCTTGACAATATTAACTCTATTTAATGGATGTTATGGGAAACGATGGAGATGAGATATGAAGAGACACTGTGTATTAAATGGAGGGTTAAAAATAGAAAAATATGAACAAAATATCTAAAACGATATTTATTTTATCAATGCCAATTATGCCAAAACGACAAATAATAAAAATAGGAGGGTTATTACTATAAAGATAAATATAATTATTTATTTTATATATACAATATGGATGTCAAATCGAAGCTCATCAAAAGATGATTAATTTGATATATTGTATATGTAAAACCGATAAGAAATACAAAAGTTATCAACTTTTAAAATATGTTTGCAATTCAATGGTTATAATAGGAAATGATATTAAAATACAATTAATACAAATATTAATTTATATCCAAGCCTAACTCCAAAGCATGATTTTTTGTCAAATAAGATTCCGAAGCATGAGAATTTGTCACATTGGCTCAGCGCATTCTGAAATTATATATAGATAGAGGGGATAATAATAATAATAATAAAAATAATAATAATAATAATAATAATAATAATAATAATAATAATAATAATTATAATAATTATTATTATTATTATTATTATTATTATTATTATTATTATTATTATTATTTTGCTTTTATTTATGTAAATAAGTGGAGTCTAGACTTTTACTTGAACACGAGAACTAGCTCACAAACAAGTTGAACTTCATAATATCGATTCAAATGCAACACACTAATTAAGATTTTTTTTCTTGACAATATTAACTCTATTTAATGGATGTTATGGGAAACGATGGAGATGAGATATGAAGAGACACTGTGTGTTAAATGGAGGGTTAAAAATAAAAAAATATGAACAAAATATCTAAAACGATATTTATTTTATCAATGCCAATTATGCCAAAACGACAAATAATAAAAATAGGAGGGTTATTACTATAAAGATAAATATAATTATTTATTTTATATATACAATATGGATGTCAAATCGAAGCTCATCAAAAGATGATTAATTTGATATATTGTATATGTAAAACCGATAAGAAATACAAAAGTTATCAACTTTTAAAATATGTTTGCAATTCAATGGTTATAATAGAAAATGATATTAAAATACAATTAATACAAATATTAATTTATATCCAAGCCTAACTCCAAAGCATGATTTTTTGTCAAATAAGATTCCGAAGCATGAGAATTTGCCACGTAGGCTCAACGCATTCTGAAATTATATATAGAGTGGATAATAATAATAATAATAATAATAAAAATAATAATAATAATAATAATAATAATAATAATAATATTGAAAGATATTTTATTTTGGCATTAGTTCGATAGTTCGAACAAGCACCTGGAACCACAGAATAAAAAGGGAAGATCTTTACATATTGTATTTTCTTAAGTAATATTGTTTTATATTCCGTATGTAAGTCCATGTAGATCTTATTACGGTTTTTATATGACAGGTAATTGCACGAGGAGAGATAAAGAAGAAGGAGAAAAGAGACATGTTTGGAGAGGAGATTAATGAGAGAGAAGAAAAGATTTCTTACCAAAGATAGGCCATTATCTTGGAAGGAAATCTTGTTTGAAGTCCTATGCCTTGTAGAAGACTCCAACCCTAAGGAGATCATATAAATACCCTAGAAGAAGCTTATGGCGGCCGTGGATTTTCACAGAGAATTATTCGAGAGCCATACAAGCTTTATTCGCGTTCTGTTCTAGTTTGATTGTATTCAGTTCAGTCTAAGAGTTCTTACAAACTCAAGGACTAGTACTGCTTTCGTTTAGTTCTTTAGACATTTCATCAAAACTATTTTACGGTTTGTACACTTAGGGAATAAGTGTAGGTGTTTAAGTCCACGGGACGTGGCCGGAGGATTAGTTGATAGGATCAAGTAGTGTTGGCTAGATTTGAAGGGAGTTCGAATCTTTGTAAGTCCAAGCTATGTATACGAGTGATCTATCAATGAAAGAGCTCTGAGGGGAAGTGGGACGCTTCCCTGAAGAGTTTATTAATCTTCGGTTATTTACTTCCGCATTTTACAATTCTTATTGTAGTTCGTACTAATACTCGCGCACTCCGTGACAAATATACGTTTCAATTGGCACCAGAGCAGTGTTCCTGTTCTTACTACGGGATAAAGATCTTTGGGACTGTGTGTTGGTCACCATGAGTCACGATGGAATGTCTGTTTCGCGCCCTCCGTTCCTTGATGGAGCAAACTATGCTTATTGGAAATCCATGATGGTAATTTTTCTTCGTTCCCTTGGTAAAGGCACGTGGCAGGCCGTTGAATCAGGATGGTCGACACCACTTATGCCAAAAGCTCCCGCTGAATTTAAACAAGGTGAACCTTCGGATGCAAAGTCGTCTATGTCTTCCACTCAAGTTCTTGTTGAAAAACCAAGGAGTCTTTGGACTGACGATGAAAAACAAGCGGAAGAAGCGAACTTCCGTGCTTTGTATGCTATCATGTCTGCAGTAGATCCAACTCGTCATAAGATAATCATTCAGTGTACCACCGCTCAAGAAGCCTGGAGGATTTTGGAAAGACAATTTGAGGGTACAAATGCAGTAAAAACCTCAAAACTGCAAAGGGTCTCCACAGAACTTGATGAAATCCGCATGAGGGAGGATGAAACTATCGATATGTACTATGCTCGGTTCTGCGACCTAGTTAACCAAAGTGCGATGCTTGGTGAACCGGTTCCTGAGGCTAGGCAAGTTCAGAAATTGATGAGAACTCTGCCGGATAGGTTTGGGATCAAGATCACTGCACTTGAGAGCTTTCAGAGGATTCAGAAACTTGGCATTGACGATCTTCTCAGCGAACTTCGGACATTTGAAATCAATCATGGTTTTGATTCTATGAGAATAAGCAAAGGAAAAGGCTTAGCACTAAAGGCCAAGGTTCGCACCTCAGTAGCTGAAGATGAAGAATCTGATGAGGAATCTTTTGATCCTGATGAAATCACCAAGGCACTTACTGTACTCTCCAAAAATGTCTCGAAGCTTAAGAAATTTCAGAAAAAGAGGTTTCAGGGTAATAGATCGTTTGATGGAGGTAGGAACCAAATTCAGCAATTCGGAGAGAAGCGTTCTGGTCTGCAGCTGAACAAGTTCCAGAACTCTAATCAAGGAGTAGAGAAGGACCAATGCCGTGAATGCAAGGGCTTTGGACATTTCCAAAAAGATTGTCCTAATTTCAAGAAGAAGAACAAGACTTTCAAGGCTACGTGGTCCGATTCCAGCGACGACGAGGACAACGAATCTGAAACAACTGAGAATTCTATCTACTCAAATAACTCTGCTAAATGTCTTCTTAATGAATATAACTGCTTTACCTCTTCTGTTCATCTAACTGATGTTGAATCTGACGCAGGTTCTTACGCAAAAAACTTGAGCGAAGTGGACTCTGATGAATTTTCGGACCCAGCTGCCGAGAATCTTGTACTTCACAAGTACGCCATTGAAAAGTGTCTCAAGGCAAGAGACATCATCAATAAGTACCATACTCAGAAGCAGAAGATGAAGGCTTTGGAACAACGATCTAGCGAACGTGAGAAAGAGATTGACTATCTTCGGAGTGAGCTTCAAAAGATGAGAATGATGACAGTCGATTTGAACGAGAAGCTTATTAAATCGGATCTCCATACCGCAAAGCAGGATAAGGACTTAAATAGTTGTTTTGCAAAACTTGCCTTGGTTGAACATGGGGATAAACTCAACAAGCAGGCAAGTGACGAGCTGAATTTTATTATTGAAAACTTACGTAACGAGTTGTTTGCTTTGCAAAATGTTGCAGGTGAGAGAGAAACTGAGATAGCCGTACTCAAGGAGGAACTCGGGCAATTAATGGAGGAACACATGACACTTAGAAGTCATTGCTCTACCCTTGAAGAGAAGTTGGGTAAAAGCGAGGAAGTCGTCAAGATGATCAATAAACCCAAGACCTCATATGCAGAAGTTCAAAGACTAAGTCAACAGATTGGTTCATCCGACTCGAGTAAGAACCTCCATACTCAGAAACTGAAGGGGAAGGTCGGAGAATCAGACACCTCACTAAGGAAGACAGGTCTGACTTTTGT